TGTTGAACTAGCTCACACCTTGTTGTGTTTTACAGACTGAAGCTGAGCTGCTAGCTGAGAAGAGATGTGTGGCTCACCTCACAGGAGAGGTCAGAATTAAGTAAATTTCCATGTTTATGTTTAATCCTACTTAGTGATCTATTAATCATGGATTATTGTTTCCTCCTTCGATCAGGGTATTGCCGTTTGTGATCTACCAGAAGACACAATGCTTCCTGGAGAAATGTAAGGCTCATCAACATCACATGCCTCTGAGCCTCACAACATTTTATATCTGAGCTGCTTTATGCTACTTTCATATTTGTATTAAACCATATATTATATGTGAATATTGCTCCTAAGTTGTCAGCAAATCAATAATAATATATGGTTTTATTTAATCCAACGACAATATGAGACATAAACTGCATAAGTTCCAAACTGGTCGAGAATACATGTCAATTAAAATTTTAAAAACCGAGCCATAAAAGCTTCTTCCATCAAAAGGAATCCAACCAGAGAGTTAACTTCATACAGCTTATGCTTATTGAAGATTAAGATGGTTTATCGAACGAATTACATAAACGTCATGGAAAGAGAAGCTTCCAACCTTTACTCTAATAAATTGGTAAAGTACAGTAAAGCCCTGCAACTATGAACTGTAAAAAGTTCTGAAATTAAAATACAAAAGAAGGAAGAGATAAAAAGTTTAGTTAGCCACCAATTCATTGGCAGTTAGTCTAGAATCTAATGATATTTGAATAGGTATTGCAGGAAGGTGTTGAATTTGGTAGCCTAGAAAGTTTCTAAACTACCAGCTAATACTACTTTTTCAATGGTTCTTGAGTTTTGGAATTTGAAACCTGAATAGGTAACTCACCTGGAATGGATGCACCTTGCAACTTTGAAACTCACTGAAAGGATTAGAAGCCAGAACAGGATGAAGAAGTAGACGAAGTAGCAAGACATCAGAGACCCCGACTTGCTGTGATGTGCACCAGAAGTTGGAGACAACTGAGAGGAATAGATGTCGCCTTCGACGATCCCATACAAATAGATAAGGTTGAGAACTGAATTCTTGCCATATAAGTTGTTCATTTCGTCTCCGTTTAGTGTTGTGTTTCTTATGACGATCATGCCTGCGGTGACACGAACGGAGCTTGAAGCTTGTGGAGCTGAGTTAAGATGGAGAGCAGCATCTTTTGAAGTGAACTGTGAAGCAAATGGAGCAGGAATGCTGCCCAGCATATGGCTTGTGTGTTTGAGGAATGGGTATTTGAGATCTGGTACCAGAAAAGAAAGAATGAGCCAAAAGTGTTAGAAATATCTAAATGGAAAGGAAAAAATTAACATGGAATTCAACTAACCTGATTCTGGTTTTGGATCCTTGGATCTTTGCATAGACGAGGACGAGGAGGCCTCGTTGTCGTAACGTAAATCTGAAGTATGTTTGCTGGGAGATGCATGTTCAGTAGCACCACCAGCGACCTAACGAAATATGATGCGTCGGTGAAAAGTAAATTCCATGTAGCAAGATGATAAAAATAAGTTAGGAAATGAAGCAGTACTGACCTCTGGAAGAACTGCTTGATCAGGAACAGAGCTCTCACTTTCGAGAATTTCGGAAGGATCGAAAGACAAATCTACGTTATCACCATCTGCGTCGAAGAACGTAAGATACTCTTCAAGCACGTCAAAAGCAGCAGGATCACTATCAGTAGGGTTTGAGAGCTCATTGGATTCCAAAAGTAGTTCATCACTAAAAGAAGGATTATCAGAAGTACTAAAGAATGGCTTGTCCAATACGTAATGACCATCGACATCACTAGCATCGATCTCATCAGCAGCAGCATTGCTTGATTCAGCAAGATACTCATGTTTGACCAATCTGTCACGTAATCGACACTCATCTGGTAAAACAAAGAACTTCTGTCCATCGGGTAGCTCTGATGTCTCACATATGCCTACTGCAGGTTTTCGATCATCTTCGATGAAATTGTCAGATTGCTCCATAGAGTTGCTTGACTCACCATAATAGAAGTCGAATGGTGGTGGTGGTGCAATTTCGGATAGAATATCTTCATCGACATTCTGCAGAAAAGAATATAACATGATTCATTGTAATTTCACATACTTTTAGAGATTGTTTCACTCTTTTGCTCACCGACCCACTCTTTATTTTGTTCCCAATTTCCCATCATTTAGATTTTCCACTTATTAAATATAGAAATCCGTCGTAGTTTCTCATTACTTGTTTCCTCCTGAAAGCTATTCTCTATAACACCAACATGCACCTTGTTTGCAAACAACTCCAACCAAACCACCGGCAAGGTCCATATAATCTTGGTCTGTGAGCCAGTTGCTCGTTTAGATTTCAATCCTAACTCAACTTTCAACTGGTTTCAGCTATCAAAAGCATGGACTCTTGGTTTCAGGTAGCACCGTTCTTGATCAGAAAGGGTTTGCTCCAAGCCTAAGAGATTCTGGAAGTTTATCCTTTATTCTTCTATAGTTGTGGGGAATTTTCCCCACTTAACGTATACCATAATTCAAGCTCAACTGTAATGGCTCAAGCCCACCGTTTGTAGATATTGTCCTCTTTGGACTTTTGTTTTCGGACTTTCCCTCAAAGTTTTTAAAACGCATCTGCTAGGGAGAGGTTTCCACACTCTTATAAAGAATGTTTCGTTTTCCTCCCCAACTGACGTGGGATCTCACAATCCACCCCCTTCAAGGCCCAGCATCCTTGCTGGCACACCGCCTCGTGTCCACCCCCTTCTCAGCCTCCTCACTGGTAAATCGCCCGGAGTCTGGCTCTGATACCATTTGTAATGACCCAAGCTCACCTCCATCAGATAGTGTCCTCTTTGGGCTTCCCCTCAAGGTTTTTAAAACATGTTTGCTAGGGAGAGATTTTCATACCCTTATAAAGAATGCTTCGTTCTCCTCCCCAACCGATGTGAGATCTCACATCAACCATGTACTATTAACTCAATTCTAGGGCAAACATGCCTAATTACCTGAGGAAATTGCTTAACTATCATTGTACATGTTCAAAAGTTCAGGTTTCTTTCAAATCTTAGGCATCTCTCGTATAGATCTGCCCATCCAACCCGTTCAGAATCATATTTCAGAAACACAGTTCTCAACGACAGATAACACAAAACCATTCCACCTGATTAGGCAAGTTGCTTATAACATGGTAAGTACATACCTGACTGAAGTCATTGCCTTCAACAAAAATGCCTCCACCAGCTAGAATTTCTTCCGCCACTTGCTCATCACCAGGTACCAAAGTCAGCTCATCATTATCTTCCCATTCCTCCTCAACAAAAGGGGCACCATACTGCTCTCCATTTTTTGGTCCAGTACCACTCTTCTGGAATATCCTACACAGCACAAACGCATCCTTCCAACCCAACAAAAAAAAAAAAAAAAACCAACAGATTCCAAGACAATTACAACAACATTTTCCAACGAAGCCAAAAATCACAAATCAACGAGAAAATCAGAGAAAAAGAGCTACAAATTTCGTTCTATTCTAACCTGCACAATTGCAAATTTCCCCAATTCCTCATCCGTGAGTTTGTATTCGTGCATCACCCAATTGGTTCGTGCACCACGAGGAGCCCGCCCAATATGATACACAAGAGTCTTCTTCATTCCAACAGTCCTCGCGTTATGGCGGACCGGCCGATCCTTTCCCGTCGTCTTCCAATACCCTTTCTCCGTAGCCCTGTTAGTCCTCGAACTATTGCCATATTTCTTATCCAAAGCACTGAAGAAATACCACTCCAAATCCCTACTCTTCAGCTTCGATTTCCCTGACAAATCCCACAACACAACTTCAATTCCACAGAAATCCGAACGACAAAAAAATAAATCACAAAATCAAACACAAATCTCAACAAACAGAAACAAGGGATTGACCAGGGAGATCCCAGGGTTCGGATTTGTAGATATCTACGTCTGAAATAGCATCAAAACGAAAGGGTTTTCCAGAGACTTTGCGCTTCAAATAATAACTAACAAGTTCTTCATCGGTAGGGTGGAATCGGAACCCCGGTGCTAGCGAAGTAGCAGAATCTCGACCCATCAAGAAAATGGATTTAGGATTTCAAAACGAGATTGAAATTCAGATTTGAGATTAGAATCGATCTGAGAAGAGATATTAAAAAAAGTTCGAAGAGTTAGGGTTCGATTTCTTCGGAAGAGAAATATAAAATAATCTCCAAAACGAGCTGGAAAGGAGGGAAATGTACAGAGAAATGTCCATGAAAAGTCGACGGAGGGAACGCTAAACTCACATGTAATAACAAATAAAAGCGTCACAGCCTCCACGTGTTAATAGTAGATTCCAATGCTGCTTGATGGTGACACTAGACTGTTAATAAAAATTCTTGCTGACGTGTCTTGGATAAACTTTACTTTACTTTACTTTACCTAATATCTGATTAAAATAAAGGAAAGATTCTCTTTAAACTCTTTTTCTTTAATTTTAAACTTTTAAATTCTTTGAACTGTTTTTTATGTATTTAAACATTCATGGAACTTACAAGAAATTTTGTAATAAGTCCAAAAATAAATAAATAAATAAATATTATTTTACTTTTAAATTAAAATAAACTATTTATTCATATTATAAAAGTACAAATGTTGAGTCATACTCCTCTCATTGGGCTCGGCTCCACGTAACTTTATAATTTTAATCAATTAAAAGATTATATCTCAAAAGGAAAATATCTATAGAAAATAAATATTTTACACGTTGGAAAAAGTAAATAATTACCAACTTTTACAATATTTTCATTCATGATCTTTTAGAAGGGGACAAAATTAGAAACTAAAGTCCCTTTTCCTTACCGCTTAAGAAATATAACATATCAGTTCCTCGAAGCTTGAAAGGTCTGAAACCTGTTAGAAATATTTCAAAGATCCTTTAGACGGAAACCGGTTAGAAATATTTTAAAATGACAGTTCATCAACTAAATTTGTAATTTAACCGAGAATAAATTAAGGGAAAATTTAAACGGAAAAGAAACCAGATACGGGGATCACATTAATAGTTATGACAACCTTATTTCATGAAATGCCACAAGCTGAGAAACTGAAGTTACAACATCAATGGTCTATAGCCATAGCAGATCAAGAAGTTTAGCATGGTCTTTCACTAAACAGGTTGAAGTTCTTACTAACTTGATACTCATACAACAAATAGCTAAATTGCTTAGACAACTGAGCTAGTTACATTACAACAATAACGTCCACGAGACCACAATGGCAGCAACAATTTACAGGGCATAGCCATTGGCTCTCGACATTTTTCTTCGTTATCGTTACAGTCTGTGTATTCGGCGTGACGATCCAGAATTGAAGAATACTACTAATCATAGTTTGGACTTCAAATCAGTTTGATTTCAAATCATTGATTTCCTTATTCAGCACGACAATCCGAGATTGAAGGATACTGATCATGGCTCGAGCGCTCAACAGCTCAAACTTCAGCGTCTCCCTCTCCATAGAAGTCTTGTGGATCTCATGTTGCAAATCTTGGATGAATTTCAAGATGCTTGGATGCACAGATGAACTAAGATCTGAGGTTTCTAATGCAGGTGGAGGAGCAGGGGAATCCTTTGGTTCTGTAGATTCTAAGAGTGAATATTCCACTAAGGTAGAAAGAAAGTTTTTCGTAGTTGGTGTCATCTCACTACTCGTCGTTACATCCGTCTGCGATGCAGTGGCAATTTCAGATAGACTGAGTTCTTCGTTTGACATGGATGAGTTTTCTGAAGCTTTTGAAAGTTCAGAGGGTAAGTCGCTTTGCCTTCTTCGTTTATACTTCATAAGCGAGAAGGGTTTCGGATTAGCGATAATCGAAGGTGGAGTATAATCCTCGAGTTCCTCACTTTTGCACATAAACAAAAAGCTGTGGGAGTTTCTTGGAGGATCATTTGACATAACAAGATCTTTATTGATGAACTGAGTTTTTTCCTGGATGAGAAACCAAAAATGGAAGGTCGCTTTCAGAAATGTCGACAAAATAAACATCGAGAAATTTCGCATCATCGAGTCGATGATAAAAATGCATGAATGAATATCCTCACTAGACCCGTCATGTCATTTTCCAGGAATATGTTTCAGAAAACAACCAATCAAACAAACCAATTTGCACCTTAAGAAGATAAGCAAATAACAATTGATGCATAACATTGCACAATAGTTGGATCCACTAAAACTGAGACTTAATTTTTTTTCCAAAGAATGTCTGCCATTGAAGATTTTTCTTTCAAACCTTCTATTTGAGTCGGACTTCCAAGACTTCATCCTATAGTTCATCACCACTGGTAACAGAAGTTATTGAATTGATTTTGGGAGAGATATTCTTCTCTTTATGATAATAAATAATCATGGGACCTTCCTATGACAAATGGAAATGGAAATGGAATCAAACGCTTTAGAGAGAGGAACGAAACATTCTTTATAAGGGTGTGGAAACCTCTCTCTAGCAGACACGTCTTAAAAACCTTGAGGGGAAGCCCGCAAGGGAAAGCCCAAAGAGGACAATATCTGCTAGCGGTGAACTTAGGTTGTTACAAATGGTATTAGAGCCAGACACGGGGAGGTGTGCCAACGAGAATGCTGAGCCCCGAAGGAAGGTAGATTGTGAGATCCCACATCGATAGGAGAGAGAAACGAGTGCCAACGAAGACACTAGGCCCCGAAGGGGGGTGGATTATGAGATCCCACATCGATTGGAGAGGGGAGCGAAGCATTCTTTATAAGGGTGTGGAAACCTCTCTCTAGCAAAAGTGTTTTAAAAACCTTGAGGGGAAGCCCAAAGGGAAATGCACAAACAAGACAATATCTGCTAGCGGTGAACTTAGGCTGCTACACTCAGATTTCTGCCTAAGACTCCTACCCCTTTTCAGGCACGAGTGACAGAATAGGGTGATCTACATTTAGCTCCATGTAGTTTCTTTCAACAGTCCAGTCTCAGGTCTTGAACGTCTAGACTAAAGGATACTAGTAGATAGTCAGTCACCTCTTGATGCTTAGGTCTCCTTTCTTTTTCTTCTTCTTTCCTTTTTTGTTAGTTTAACGATAAGAAATCGACCAAATCGTACACGATATGAAATCGCAAAAGAGGAAAGCCAAGTCCCAAACGAAAGGAATAAAAGAAACTCTTCCAAGCCATAGTTGTTGGAAGGAGCATATAATTTACGTCAAGAGACAGCCAGAAAAGAAGTAGGAACTAACTGTTGTTCCACTCAAGCCAAAAGTTCCAATAGAAAGCACTAATAAATTGAAGTCAAATGATCTTTTTCTGGTTGAACGGATGACCAAAATCAAGAAGGCTCTTCATTAATAAGGAGGGCCATTTACCAATTAAAGGAGAAGAGCATGAAGGTCCAGAATCTATTAGAAATGGAGCAACCAAGAAAAATGTGATGTTGTGCTCAGCCTCCATCCTGCACAAGATACACCGACTCGGGGAAAGCACAAGTGACAGTTTTACTATGGAAGTAACAATCAACACTTTTATACAAGATGAGACATAACTCTGTAACTCATTCATATGATATTTGAAAGAAACTTAAGTACTTCACTCTGAAATGAGTTCCTAATTAAATTCAGATAAACACATACCTGCATACCATCCTTTCCGTCGCCGCATACATGGTTATTACGATCCTCAGCAGCACACACGCTATTGCTGTTCCTTTCGGACTGTGTATCGTGACTAGCTACTACACCGTCTGCAATCTCTTCTCCGGGAATCAAAACTGACCCACCGTCATCCCATTCCTCCTCAATAAAAGGTGCGTATCGGTGTCCATTCGGAGGTCCTATATTACTTTTGTGGAACACTCTGCATAAAACATAGGCATCCTTCTCCGAAGGAGAGGGAATAGGAAACAAAAAGCTGTTGTAAGAAGCTAAACTTCAAATGCAAATCAAAACACTATGGTTGCTGAAACAAGTGCATAAAAGAAAAGAAAAAAGGAATACCGAAGCTTAAAATTGTCATTCAAACTCTAAACTTCGCCTAAACATATTTCACAAGTACCAGAACCCGCACAGCCGCCAAAAGAACACAAAATGGACTGCCATGGCAAATTTTCATGATGGCCTCACCTTCGAGCTACCCGTTCCTGCTCCCGCTTTCTCCAGTTCTTCATCTACAAGCCTATACTCATGCATAACCCAATTGGTCCGCTTCCCATCAGGAGCTCTACCACTGTGGAAAACTAATGTTTTCTTTAAGCCAACAGTCCTGGTATCATGGCGGACTTGCCGATCATTACCAGTGGCTTTCCAGTACCCTTGGCTTGTAGCCCTATTCATCCTAGCTCCATTTCCATATTTCTTGTCCAACACACTAAAGAAGTAGTACTCTTGGTCCCTGCTCTTCAACCTTGACTTTCCTAAATATAACATTCAAACAAATCTAGAAACTCAAAGACGTGATTCAGAGACACAATAAAGAAACCATAAAATCAGTATAAAAATACAATCAGAGAGCAAGAAAGCTATTTAAAAATGGGGCAGGTTGGGGGAAAATAAACGCCCAAAAAGACCAATCGATCAACAATCCACCTAAAAAACAAGCCGATAAAAGTATAAAATAAACAAAATTAGAAGAATCATACAAGATGAGAACAAAGCTCCAAAGCATCTGAGTTACCTGCAAGGTCCCACGGCTCACTCTTGTAAATATCGACCTCAGAAATAGCATTGAAACGGAAGGATTTTCCACAGACCTTGCGCTTGAGGTAGTAAATAACGAGCTCTTCGTCGGTCGGATGGAACCGAAACCCTGGAGCTAGTGCTGTTGGGGCGGCGGCTGCTGCTGCTGCTGTGGCGGCGGCAACGGGCTTCGTTAGAGCTAGAGGCGGCGATAGAGTCAAGGTTTCAGAACCCATTAGCGAAAATCCCTACTGGATTTGCAAATTAGAGAGAGGAGGTCCGGAAATGGAGATCAGGGTTTTCAAAGGTTGAAGATAAGACTTTGATTGGTGCTGAAGAAACTACGTAAAGATACCTTCAATTACAAGGTATTCTTTTCTAGGGAAAGAGAAAACCATTTCACATTTTGAATTTATTTATTTATTTAAAATTTTCTTTTATATTTGGTAATGGAGTAACTATCAATAAATATCAATAAATCTTAACGTGTGAGTTATACAGTTGAATAATTTGACTATTTTTTGTACCAGCTATTTTCAAATTGGCATATTACTTAAAAATACAAAATCAAACCTCTCCTTAGTAGACGAGTTTTAAAATCATGAGGCTAACGACGATACGTAACAAGCCAAAATAAACCATATATGCTAGCGGTGGGTTTGGGTTGTTACAAATGGTATCGACGTAGGGCGATGTGCCAGCGAGAACACTAGGCCCCCAAGAGAGATGGAGTGTTAGATCCTATATCGGTTAGAGAGGGGAACGAAACATCTCTTGTAAAGGTGTGGAAACTTCTCTCTAGTAAACATGTTTTAAAATCGTGAGGCTGACAACGATACGTAACGGACTAAAATGAACAATATTTGTTAGCGATGAGCTTGGGTTGAGGTTGTTACAGGGGACATGCGTGTAAAACAAATGAAACCAATATTACAAATTTTCTAGTCCTCGTAAACTAGAGGTAGGGACATCCATAAAAGATATATCTCTAAAGTCATCCAATAACCGAGTCTCTTAACCCTACTCGTCACTCATGCACCATGATATTGCCTTTACTTGGAAGTGATAATGGTTTTATTGCTTAGTCACGAAAATTCATAATAGTTTACGTACGTAGTCTACATAACCCTAAAAATGGGCTCTGATACCAATTGTAACGTTATACTCTGATCGTGAGGATATTAAATTATGATTAAAAAGAATTAATAAGGAATAACATCGTTTTTGATAACTCAATTACATAAATTTTAAAATTAAGCGTATTTTACGCTGATGAATCTTCTAGAAGAAAATAAAATACGTTAAAATAACTTGTATTAATTCACAGAGAATCTTAAATCTTAAAAGTTGTTCAAGTAAAATAAGTAACATGATGTCACAGTATGTCGGAAAATATCATGTCAATATGAGGCGGTGTCGTTTTTAGTAGTACACCTCATCAAAGAACTAATAATTAAAAAAATTATTATTTTACTGCGTATTGTGAAAAGCTATAATTAAATAGTTTTTAGTGAAAATAAATTAGAATAAATTTTTATTGGATTTATGATAATAATAATAATAATTTTAAAAAGCTTTTAATTTTATTTTGAGAATTGAGATAAAAATAAGTTTTTTATATATATGAATTAAAAAATTCAAAGTAACGCAATTTGAATAAATGATTGGAAAATGACAAATCAATTTTGTGGATGTTTATCTTATAAATATACTTTATTTAATGAGTGAAAATGATTAAAGTCAAGTGCAATGATTTTGCGAAAACAAAAAATAAAAAATTAATAAAAAATGATTGGATATAAATATTTATTATTTTTTATATTATAAAAATGAAAAATTATGGCCTGGAGAGATGAAATATAAGAAACAAATTGCGAGATCTCATATTGATTGGAAAGGGGAACGATACATCGTTTATAAGAGTATAGAAAAACGTCTCCCTAACATACACATTATAAAATCGTGAGGCTGACGATCATATGTAACGGGTAAAAGCGTACAATATTTACTAGTGGTGAGTTTGGGTCATTACAAATAGTATCAAAACTAAACACCGAGAGGTATGCCAGTGAAGACGCTGCCCCCAAGGGGGGTAGATTGTGAGAACCCACATTGGTTGGAGAGAGAGCTAGACACCAGCGAATAATATCTGCTAATGGTGGGCTTGGAGCATTACAAATGGTATCAGAACCAGACACTAGGGCGGTGTTCTAGTGAGAATGATACCTCAAATGGGGTAGATTGTGAGATCCCACATTGGTTGAGAGAAAGTCAGAGACACCGGCAAACAATATCTGCTAGCTGTGAGCTTGAGTCATTACAAATGGTATCAAAACCAAACACGGGGTGGTGTACCAGTGAGGACGCTGCCTCCAAGAAGGGTAGATTGTGAGATCCCACATCGGTTGGAGAGAGAGTCAGACACTAGCGCACAATATCTACTAGCAGTGGGCTTGGACCATTACAAATGATATCAAAACTAGACACCAGGGCAGCGTGCTAGTGAGAATGCTATCCCAAAGGGGAAGATTGTGAGATCCCACCTTGGTTGGAGAGAGAACCAGACACCAACAAACAATATTTGCTAACAGTGTGCTTGAACCATTACAAATGGTATCAGAGTCAGAGTCAGAGACACCGGCGGACAATATCTGCTAGCAGTGGTCTTGAGTCATTACAAATGGTATCAAAACCAAACACGGTGCGGTGTGTCAGTGAGGACGCTACCTCCAAGGGGAGTAGATTGTGAGATCCCACATCGATTGGAGAGAGAGCCAAACACCGAGGCACAATATCTACTAACGGTGGGCTTGGACCATTACAAATGGCATCAGAACTAGACACTAGAACGGTGTGCTAGTGAGAACGCTACCTCTAGAAGGGGTAGATTGAGAGATCACACATCGGTTGGAAAGAGAGCCAGATACTAGCGGACAATATCTGTTAGTGGTGGGCTTGAATCATTACAAATGGTATCAGAACCAGACTCTGGGTAATGTGTCAGTAAGGACGTTACCCTAAGGAGGTAGACTGTGAGATCTCACATCGGTTGGAGAGAAGAATGAAACATTGAAGGCTAAGACGATACGTGGGTGATCCTTTTAAACCGAGATAAATAACTCGACTATAATTTTAAATTTTAAATTATAAATTTAATTTACTTCTATAAATGAAGCCATAATTGAAATTTCCAATTTAAGTCATATGATTTAAAAAAATTTCAATTTGGATCTTATTGTTTTTTAAATTTTAATTTGGTTCTTACCGTATTTATTTTTTAAGAAAATTGAGATGGTTGACTAAAAAAATGAAGCCAAAATTAAATTTGAATTATTATGGAATTATAGAAACTAATTTAATAATTAGTGGGTGTGAAAAGAAGTGGGTGTGAAAAGAAAGCATGAAGATAGAAAAAGGGGCGGCAAATAAGGGACGAGTACGGCGCAGGATAGCAGTTACCTGTAAAGCAAGTAATCGGTCGGTGGCTTTACCCCACCACCATTTTCCACTATACAATCCACCCACTCGTCCACATATATATATATATAATTAATTAATTTAAATCGAGATAATTACACATAAAATATAGTTTCTTTTAAAAATAAAACATCATATTTTTATTAATGTTAGTCTAAATTTAGTATATAGTTTTCTTAATAAATTTTGTAATTATGTTTATATATGGAGGCTTTTATTACAATTTTATAAAAATTAAATTAATGTGAGCCATTAATTTTAAAGTTTATTGGTAGGCTTCGGGAGGGAGCCTTGCCATAGAACTAGAGTAGCCACATTAAACGTTAGCATTTAAGATTGATCAAGGTGCACCACGTATGTATTAGGTGGACTCGGCTAGTATAATTTATGAGGACAAATTTTGATAGGGTGGTGAGAGCAATGTTATCCTTCTATGATATCTAAAATTCATACATCGTTATTAAGGATAGTGTAATAGTTCAAGCCTACTGTTAACAGATATTGTTCGTTTTTGCCCGTTATATCACGATTTTAAAATACATTTGGAGAGGTTTTGTAACGGCACAGGCCCACCACTAGATATTGTTCTCTTTGTGCTTCTCCTCAAGGCTTTAAAACATGTATGCTAGGGAGAGGTTTCCACACACTTATAAAGAGTGTTTCGTTCTCCTCCCCAATCGATGTAGGACATCACAGGTTTCCACACCCTTGGGGGGTCAGCGTCCTCGTTAGCACATCACTCGATATCTAGCTCTGATACTGTTTGTAAAAGCTCAAGTCCACCACTAATATATATTGTCCGTTTTAACTCGTTACATATCATCGTGAACATCACAATTTTAAAAACACGTCTGTTAGGGAGAGATTTATACACCCTTATAAGAAATGTTTTGTTCCCCTCTCCAATCAACGTGGGATCTCACAAATACTCAGTTCGTTGCTTCTTGACTACATCCCACAATTAATAAAATTTTTACTTCACAGGTGTTATTCGTAAGAAGTCGTGTTCTTATACACCTCAACAAAATGGTGTTATCGAACAAAAACATAGGTGTGATATTCTTGCTTTAGCTACTTTTATCATTAGATTTCGTATCAACTTGATGTAAAGAACGTTTTTTTTTTTTTTTTTCATAGTTTCGACCAAAATAGTTTATCTTTTAAACAAATTTGAGACAAACATATTAACTTTCAAAATCAAAATCATCAACAGCCTTGTAATCTCAGGCCATGATGACATTTGTCAAAAGGGCAAAACCCGGCCAAGCCAAAGCCTTCAACTAAGCTTTCCGCTAAGAAACTTCGTCCCTTTTCAGCCTCATTCATCCAAAACAGAGCCAAAACAGCCGCTGCCGGCTCTGTTTAATATTCAACACATTTCATTCCTTCATTCCTTTTGTTTTTTTTTCCTTTTCCCCTCAATCTTTCTTGGACATCTCCTCCTGTTTATAAGCCCACATCATTGCAACATGAATCTATGGCCTTCCTCTGTTCTGTTCCCACTACAATGGCTTTTACTGGTTTTCACAGGTACCCGTTTGTTCATTTTGTTCTTATTGGCCTTTTTGCTATCACTGTGAGCGCCATTGATATCTTTCTTGAATGGAATGTGGCCCTAGACTCCACAATCCAGCCGGTATCTCAGCTGCAGCCTGTAAGAATGTGTATTGATTCTGCCATTGTTGATATTGATTGAGCTCTGTAACTTTACTGTTCTTTGTTTCTCTTGGATTTTAGGTTATTGCCATTAATGGGTTGTTCCCAGGACCTTTGATTAATACCACAACAAATGATTATGTTCATGTGAATGTCTTTAACAATTTGGATGAGCCTCTTCTTTTTACATGGTATGAATGTGGATAATGTTTGAGGAACAAAAATGTTGGATTTGTGTATGTTTTTT